AGAGCACTCCATTTTGCCGACCATGTGATCAAAGGAAACGGAGGCCCTAGGGACGAGAATGTCCTGGAGTCTATTTTCTCGCACCTGAGTTCAGCCCGCAGGAAAGGGAGAGTTCAGGGACTGGACTATGCCAAGATACGTTACTCACTGTCCTTTCTTGTTCGAGTTGAATCAAGAAGACTTGAAGAGTAGATTTCATTTTTAACCGTATGTACGCTTAGATGAAGTTAAAACTAGCAGGAAAACTCCATAAGTAAGAAATGAGATTGAAAGCTTCACTGGCTTAATTATAAGATGGCCTTCAAACTGCCAGAAAACTGAGATTATATCGATCTAACAAAGTCCGTTTCTTTGCAAAACAACTTTGTTCAAGCAGTTTATGAAAGTTATGTACGTTTAGTAGTAGGCCTCCAAAACATCTGATATTGACATTTTTGTCAAAATGAGACAAAAGAATGAGACAAAATGACCTAAATTACAGAATACGACTTGTTTTAATGCAAGGAATCTTTTGCTACTGCATATCACCGCCTTCTCATTACTTGATTATTTTATGTCTCAGGGACTGCAGGTGCATCCCTCTGTTATCATCATGGTCAACCATTTTCCACTAAAGATCAAGATAATGACAGATCACACAAGAACTGTGCCAGTATTTATCACGGAGCCTGGTGGTACAACGCGTGTCACAAATCCAACCTGAATGGCTTCTACCGTCACAAAAGTTCCTCTCCTTTCGGTGATGGTATCAACTGGTACCACTGGAGGGGATATCACTACTCCCTGAAGAGGGCCGTGATGAAAATTAGACGACTGGATTTCTGAGATAACTGAGTTCTCTGACTTTTTCGCTCTCGGTCAATAGAAGTGTCTAGTCATTGTATTGTTTGACTAAGAAATCATAAAATTCTAAAATTATAATTCCTGGGTGTATTAAATATAGCTATTGTTAAACTTGTGTGTAACTGTGACCTGGACCTAAATCGGACAAAATTGAATTTTGTAAGACAGAGAGAAATTTACTAAGTACTAAATTTAGTTTAGATAAATCATGATGTCATGTACACAATGTAAACGCAGGAAGCAAGCAGGGTGAGGGGCTTGCGGCGCTAAATTTCGAAAATATAGTGTAATAAGAAGAATACAATAGAATAAAAATATAGAGATAAACTTAAGAGCTGTTGCTTCAAAGAAATGCACTGGAATCTCGTTCTTCATGATCGCTCAAATAGTTGAAAATAACAGCTACAAATTAACATGAAATTATCAATACTAATTTGCAAACAATTTCGTTGCATAGAGTGGTATTGTGGGAGACATTGTAACAACAGGTGATGGGTTATATTTGCAGAAGCAGTATGTCTGTACACTAAGTTAGTTTTGTTGAGAGTAAACGAGTTCTGGACACAGGAATAATTTTTGCGCTGGCAATCCAAACTACACTAGTAGCACTTACACGTTTTGGGATGTTTATTCAATCCCTTTGTCCTTTGTGACCCCTTCGTGAGTCGACAGCAGGAAAGTTGTGTCATGAACTGCATTTCCTCGTTGCTTACGTACAGCTGGACCATAGACACCAGCACGATGTAAAATAAACTGTGAGACGCTGACCTTTAATGTCTTTTCTCGACCATCTCATTCGCACTTACACGTTTTGGGATGTTTATTCAATTCCTTTGTCCTTCGTGACCCCTTCGTGAGTTCAACAGCAGGAAAGTTGTGTCATGAACTGCATTTCCTCGTTGCTTACGTACAGCTGGATGTAAAATTAACTGTGAGACGCTGACCTTTCATGTAATTTCTCGACCATCTCATTCGCACGCCAGAAGTCTCTGCAATTTCTTTTACCCGTCACCTGCGAACTGATTATCGATTCAGTTTTCCATGAAGCATGACGTTAAAAATAGAATTTTGGCCGGAAAATGTAGCTTATATCTACTGAAGGATAGGATCAGGCGAGTTTAAAATGTTTACATATATTAATAACAATGTCACAGCTTTAAGAGCCACTTATTGCTAGTTTTCATTGAATCATGCATTAGAATCATGATTTGGTAATATCTCGAACAAAAACGAACGCTCATCATTGCTTTTATACTCTGAAAAGATAACGGTAAACGGCAAACCTCGTTCTTTTGACTCTGCCCAGTTTTCTCTGACCATAACACACTTACATGTGTAATAGATCTGACGGGTTTTAACCGGTGAAACTTGGCCAAAACATTCTTTGATTATCAATGTGCCAAAAAATGTCGGATACTTTTTTGATATTTAAAAGACCTCCTCTCTTAGGCCTTCTCATGCGACGAAGAGCGCCAATAAATACTCTATTAGGTTAATTCGAATAGAAAAAAACAATTGAACTACACAATTTTGTAATCTGTCATTTGCTGATTGACATGTGCAGATTGTAATTTGGTCGTGCGTACGAACAGGAGCAAACATTGTCAGCTTTGCGTTTGAAGGCTTGCGCGCAGTAACCAATAGATCATGCAAATCTTTAAAATAATTAGTTCTTTTGGCTCTTTATTTAATTAGCTGAACGGATTTTTAATGCTCTTCTGTGTTTTCGCTCAAAGCGACGTGAATGCGAAAGATTTTCTGAAAGGCAGCCGCAGTTTATTGTGCGATGCGTATCACCAATGCGAATTTGTCTTCAAGGATCTTTTTACTTTTTTCTGAAGGATATGAAACCAAAACAAAGACCCGGAAACAGATGTCTTTCTGTCGAAGTTTAATCAAACCTTTTGGAGTGAAGCCAACCAGACCACCGCTAGAAGCTTTAAATTACGGATTCGAGATCGGCCAGCTGTCCGTATCTCAAACATGGGATAGAATAGAACTTATTCCCAAGAAAAGCAAAGAACTTTTAAAACTGGAGAGGGCTCACGTACTTAAACTCTGATTACAAGAAAGCCGCAAAAGTGATTGCAATCTGCTTGAAGAGCCATCTGCACAAAGTAACAAACAATAACCAGACTGCCTTTCTAACCTAATTCTGGGACGGTTTATAGGATTGGACATATGTGCAATTGAAAGCTTTATTAATTTCACCACTGTCATAAAAGTCCCCAGACTTCTACTTTTCCTTGACTTTGAGAGAGGTTTTGACATATTGGAATGGCCTTTTCTAAAAAAAAAAACAAAAACAAAAACAAACAAAATCAATTCCTTCTTTCGGATTTGGCCATTTCATTGTTTTCTATCTTTTTAACAATAAGGAAAGCTGTATTATGACAAACGATTGGACAAGCAACTTCTTTTCGGTCCAGAGGGGTGTCTGGTAAGGTTGCCCTCTCTCTCTCCTTACATTCTCATTCTATTTCTGTCAGGCAAAAGTCTGGCAGCAATCCGAAGACATGAAAAAATAGGTTTATTGGTCGAGGACACCGAGGTTAAATGACCCGGCACACAACTTTCATTCTCGATGGCTCAGAAAAGTCACTCTCTCAAGGTGAGGGTCTTGAGAACTTCGTGAAATTTCTAGTCAGGAGAAAAGGAGTAAGGTTATCCTTATAGAAGCTCGTAATTTCAACTAGCATAACGCATACAAGACCGCTAAAAAGACGGCATCAGTTGGACACTTAAACAAAACAAATCTAAAACTCCTCCTATCTCTTCTAGTTCTGTTGCAAATAAATTGAACTTTTCTGGAAACGCTTCATTGCTTCTGGAGCATCGTAAGTTCTGTTTTTTTTTGTTTTTGTTTTTTTCATAAAAGACGACACCCTTAAGCCTGGTTTTCACTACGACATAAGCATAAGCATAAGCACAATAATAGTGAGAACACCCACAACACAAACATAAGCACTCAGGCATGTACAGAAGGAATATTTGCCTCATTTTCGGTTCTATACCTCCTCGATACAGTAAAACAAGATAATGGACCTTCGCTTATACTTGTGCTTCTCATCTGACAGCAGCGCGTTTTCTCTTGACAAAACCATAAACACAAGCAAAGAACAACAAAAACTTTTGTTCTGCCTGTGCTTGTGCTTATGCTTGTGTTGTGCGCGTCCTCACTACCGTGTGCTTGTGCTCATGCTTTTGTTGTGGGCGCCCTCACTACGGTTATGCTTATGCTTATGCTTGTAGTTGTGTTTACTGTGTGTCGTGGTGACCAAGCTTTTGCAATCTTGTCGTCTTTGTCCTGAGGTCTGACACTTCAGGCTATCAACTTTATTCTGTTTTTACTTGCGAGATTTTGCATCTTGCTTTGCAGAAGCAAAGAAAATGTTTCACTCTTTCAAATTTTTTAAGCCTTTTTAATTTCTTTTCTTTTCTTTTTTTTTTTTGGATAAAACGACAAAAAATTGAACGTTTCTCTTGTTTATAACTTTTTTTTGACACTTTCCTTCCTGTCAGACATTGCTTTTGTATAAATATGAATAATCTGTAGGTTGCGCGCGCAATGCATGATTTCCAAGGGCAATGTCAAGTTCACAAACAGCGAAGTAAGAACATGGCTTGTCGAAAATAAACTGCATTCGGTGCGATAATGTGTTTGTCGTTATTTTCTTTAAAACAATGTATAATAAAACAATTATTAGATTCGGTTTTTGTGACATCCGAAATAGTCAAGGTCTCGGTTAGTGTTATCAGCAACAGCCTTCGGCTTTGGCTGATAACACTTACCTCGACCTTGATTATTGTGGATATCACAAAAGCTTCATCGTTAACTATCGGTATTTTAAGTAACTTGAGTAGTTTTATGTTCCTGCAAGTAACGTTATGTATTGAATTCTTAGCCGAGTACTGTATAGTTAGTAAGTAACCCACATTGTATTTAAGAAATGTAAGTATTGTTAGTCTTGTATTGTAAGTGGCACAAGGTGTAAGAGTACTATAAGTAATTATGGTTATTACAATTTAAATCTAAAGTTTCGTTCGGTGGATAATTATTGTGTTTTTCCTCTCTCTCTCTCGTTTTGTGTTAAGCCATTCACTGGTCGAATTAGACTCATTAACGTAGCTTGGATTAATCTACAGATACTAATCAACGTTAAGACTAAGGAATAGCTTCCGTCGTAGACTTATTCATTTTTTGGTCAAGATTACCAATTCAACGATGCCTTAAGTTTCGTAAATGTCTTTTCCAAAACTAGCTGTTTGATATTTGTTTGTGTTTATCTGTTCACAGTAACAAATTGAAAGAGCAGGAAAATGCTGTGGAGTGTTTCATGTTTGTTAATTTTCCTCCTCTCGGGCTTCTTTATGGACTGCGGATCTGCTGGTGAGCAATGCAGAGAGGAACGGAGCATAAATGGAATGGCTCTACAAGGATTCGTCTTTACAAAATTCCTGGTTAAAGCTTTTCACGAGTGTGATATCAGCTGTGAAACAGAAATCAAGTGTCAAAGCTACAACTTCGTTGAAAGGGAAAAGTCGTGCGAACTGAATACCCGCACCAGGGAGGCAAGACCGGAAAATTTCCGTTCAGACCCGGCCCGGTCTTACATAAGACGCTTGATGGAAAGGGGTATGTACAAAAAGATTAGGGAGCCAAAGCAAAGACGTTTTCGAGAGGCGGGCGTCATGCTAGAAGCTAAAGCGTTTTATTGACTTTTCGCTAAGGATGTCAAGTTCTAAATGCTTAAATGAGAGCTTTCAAACGTACATGGTGGAGAAAAAAAGCAACATATATTTACGTCTGAAATTCCAATGGTATGCCGAAAGTTTAATGTTCGTGAACGATGTTAGCTTTGAAAGCTTTTTTCTTAGGTAAGAATATCTAGCTAACACTCTGCCAAATGCTAGCTGGTCCTATTTGCAGCATTTTAGCAAATTTCATCCCGTGAAGTTCACTGAATAAAGTTACTCATTTTCAGTTTTCATATCAGAAGCAGAATTACTTTGTTAACATAATAGAAACCACAGTATAATCGGTAAAATATATATTTTTTGATCCAAGCTCCTCTAGGTTCCATTCCGGAGCTCCCAGCGCATTCGTGTCAGGAAATAAAGGCAAGCGAAGGAAAAGACACCATTAGCAGCAAGTACTGGCTGGATCCAACTGCGAATGGAACGGCAGTATTGGTTTATTGTGACATGAACTTACAAGGTAACTGACAGTTATTTTCACGTCACTTCTGTGTTATTTTGGGGATAGCTTGTTGTTGTCTGCATCTTTGTTTAATATAGAATTTAAAATGGCCGAACACAGTTTTTGATACCTGTGTTTCATTC